AAGAATTGATTTGTGAGCACAGCTTTGGAAAGTGGATCTTAAAGATAAAAATGAACGTAAAACTTGATTGAGATTTGTTTATAAGTTATAAACAATTAAGTTTTGTATTAAATGAAACGAGATGATGATAAAACGGTAAGTATGACAAAGAGCAATCAATCGATTTTTTTTGTGTTTGTTTTAATTTTTAGAATCGACTATATAAATGATATATATTACCATTTTGTATATGTTTCGTTTAATACCTTTATTTAAAAGTTTCAGAACAGTTATTGCACGATTTTCGATCTTTTACGATCTTCTTTATATCACACATTGAAATTTTATTAAAAAGAAATGTATTAAGATTTTTGAATCGTATGCATATTTTTATGTAATTCAAAAATTTTTATGAAACAATATTATTAATTCTACCGGAACAAATTTTGATAATTAAATCATTTTCTCCTCCGCTCATTCATCATTTTCTTTCAACATAAACCACGCTCAGATTATTTATATACCAGTATATATCTTTTCACACTCTAAACCTAGTATAAGAACGTAGGTCAGTAGTCACGCAAGATTTTCTCTTCCATTCATTGCAAATGTACGTGACAAGCCCATGCTTTCTTCCTTTTATTATAGTGCACATATTATTCCAAGTACCATATCTTAAAGCTCTTTTATTTCTTTCTTCTCTCATGATTCTTTCCTCTGAACCTACTGATCCTTCATGCGTACACCATAAACAGAAAAACACCGTACTGCAATTACAAGTGCAAAGAAAACATACTTTCTCCGAGGCACGTGACGACTTCCGATCATCCACGTTCCCATTCGAGAGGCTAAGTACCCATTCGATTTTCAATATACAGACTTTCGAGATTATTTGCATTCATCTATGGCGATTACCACACTTGACCTACCAGAAGAATTGCAAGGAGATTTCTTCAACTTCTTCGAAGATCGTTTAACCGGATAATGGACAGTAGACATTGATGATGGCAAAAAGTCAATAAAATTATTAGAATAAGTCAATAAGATCATTTCATGCTTATGAACTTCCAATTATATCCATGTTCCCATTCAAAAAATTAATTAAGTATTTAATTCTCATAAAGCTATCTCAAAATTATTCGCTTTCTTGACTTTTTCATATTACTTATTAATTCTAAATATATAATATTTCATCATGCATTTCACTTTTTCTTTTTAACAGAAAAAGAAAAAATTCTTCGTTGTAGAATAAAATAATAAATAATGACAAAAATGATGTGCAATTTTTCAAAATATATTAAATATTTAATATGCTTGGATATTTCTGGAATTAATCCATCTCTAAAATCTCAAGATCATTTAGACTTTCGAGTGATTCATCTAAAGAAACATAGCGGGATTTCTTCGATTTCTCAACCAGCCATCTAATCAAAATCAAACTGCCAAAGGCTGTTAAACACAGCCTTTGATGTTTGATGACAGTAAAAAGCGATAATAATAGGTGCGATAGATCTTCAAGTTAATAATCTCCTCGATATCGTGATTTTTCAGGTATCCTCACAGGCTGGATTTAGAAATGTAATTTCCAGATGTCGGTCAATATATCGACGCGAGCATGACATGAACATGACACTTGTGAAACAGATACGATTTTGGAAAATGAACGAGGCTGGTATTTTACGCGTTCGTGGATATTCTGTCACGCGTGTTACCGGATTGCGGGATATTCTTTTCCGAGTGAATGTAATGAAATCGATGCTGGAAATGGAATGGATGACTGTCTCGAAACGTGGATGATCGAGGAACGAAATAATAAATTTGACGGGAATTTTTGTCTATCTGGTGTACTGTTATCGGGTAATGGATGATTGTAGTGCGTTTTTATTTATTGGAAGGAAATTTTAATCGATGTACGATTATCTGGATTATCTAACTATTATTTAAATGAGAAATTATTAAGTAGATTAAATTTCTTCGATCACATCGAAAATAATAAATTTGCATAAACACGGTCTAATAAAACAAAAACTTTTTCAACGATGAATCAACCCTCATTTCTTCAAACAAACTCCCGCAGAGTTGGTCCCAAGACAAGAATATGTGAAAAGGAAGCACATTCGAGAAGCAAAGCATCGCGTAAAAGAGCTAGAGAGGTAACACGATACGGAGTTATTCCTCCGGTGAGTTATTTCTCGTGTAAGACGGATGAGAGGTATAGATACATGTATGAAACAACAAAAAAGAGAAAATCCACTGTGCAACCAGATTATAGTCCTTCGTTCTTTAACTTTCTACCCTCTGTTCATTCTATCATTGTCCTGAAACTTCCTTCCTTCTTCGTCAAGTATGTTTGGGATTTTTAAAAAATTTTTTTTTATATCCAGTTTTAATATTTTGAATATGAAAATGTGAGAATCGATGAGAAAAATTGTTTTAGTGATTAATAAAATCGTTTCGTTGTTATAGTTTTATTGTGAAATAATGAATTGGAAATGTTATTGATAATAATATTATTAATGATCATATTGATTAATCTTTTGATGATTCGTATAAATGGACAAAACAAAATTGATTTCATTTGTGCAAATTCATGATAAGAGCATAGAATAATTAATTTTAATATTGACATCTTTCAATAAAATAAATTTATACAATTAATTAATATATTACTTACTATAATATCTAGAATGTAAATTTATAATATTTTTAAAGAGTACAATTTTTAAAAAGTAGATTTGAAAAAAGATAACTAAACTGAAATGATTAATTTTATGAATGAAAAATATAACTTTAAAAAAAAAGTTAAAAAAAAATGTAAAAATCATATATACATATGTAATTTCATACATGAATGTAAAAAATTGGAATTAAGAATTTGTTATGATATTTTGATAATTGATTTATATTTCATATTAAAGAATTGTTTATATATTAAGATTTATTATAATGATACTATAATGTTTTATCATATCGAATCATTTCAACGACATTTTGTATTAAATGTGACAGATCACCCATAACCTTTAATTTGAGATTAGCAGTTAATAATTGAGGCTTGTTTAATATAAATTCTACTTTCCACATTTTCATATTTCGCATAAATTCATTAAGATAGTCGAATATTGGTGCCACGATCTTTTGAAACTCGAATCATCGATGATTCAAAAGCAATAAACACGAGAGAATCGAAAACGTTTTATCTTCAAAAATGAAAACGAATAAAGTAAATAAAGCAAATAAAATACTCACGTGTTTCGCAAGAACGTCGTGCAGGCATAATCCTATAATAAATATAAGAAGCACCGACGACCTGAAACAAAAACAATATTCACCTTTTACTTTACCATTTAAATTCATAATTAAGAATGAATCGAAAATTTCTTCTTTATTAATCTTTTTTGAAAAGAAATTTTATGCTAGAAAATAATTAATAATACATTAGATATATCTTATGATCATAAATAAAAAGAAGTATTATAATTATTTTCCTTTTTCGAGGGGGAAATTAAATTTCATGTAGATATAAAATAATTTTCATTTTAACGTATAATAAAGAGCTATTGATCCAGAATAAAGTATAATCCTGAATTACAGGTATGTAAAATTGATATATCATATCAAATTGCATGTTTTTCAAGGTTAGTATTAGCTTATGCTTATTTTATTATTATATTTTATATTTATCAAGTCAAATCAGTTATTTTATAATACTAATAAGATTTTTTACATTTTTTATTATTTTCATATGAAAAAATAATAATAAATTAAATAGAAATAAATACACGTTAACGCGTTTTTTTATAAATCATAATCTAACCTAACCTATACGTATAAAAATAATTAATAATGCAATACACAGCAAACAAATTTCTAATCAACATTTTAAATTATACATTACAACATTCTTTTCTATTTACCTAGTACTTTATAACTTCCATTTTCATTAAACAGAAAAAGAAAAAGGAAAAGACGGTTAATAAATCAGCATTGAAACAATCACTTGTCCCGTGTCACGATCAATTCACATCGTGCTTCCCTCAATCCGCTTATTCATCTATACGAATCAATCAACCGACAAGTAATACCGCCAATTAAATCAGCCAAGAAACCGCAAGTTAATTATAAGCTGAGCGGTCGTTTTCCACGATAAATCAAACGCAACGGAACTAAAGTACGCGAGCCGGTGCGAGGAAACTGGTCGCCGCCATTGACCCAGACTTTGATTCTTGCGTGAACGCTGGGACGAGTTTCACCGCGAACTTGTCCCGCAAGTCGTTACGTCACTCTTGGTTAGACAGTTACATGCGCCATTACGCGAACGCGTCTTGATCGTCATCGATATTGTTGATTACAATTTCGAGATAGAAGATATGATTTAATTTGGGGATTCTTGAATTGAATTTGTTACAAAATTTTGATACAAAGCAGATGTATAGGTCTATTGATGCATTAAATATAACGTAGGAAAAAAGATTGATAAATTTTTGTTTGAGGTTATCTTTTTGTTTCTAATTCTATTTATATTGTATTAAGTTTGTTTTTTTCATAAGAAAGGAATGTAATTTCAAAAAGAAAAATAAGATTTATTGAAATATGAAAAGTAGATATTTTGTTGATTTTCTTTTTTTTAAAGCGGAACACACTAATTTGACTAAAAGTACATATTTGTAAAATACATTTTTGTATAAATCATTTTTTCGAAATATATTCTCAAATTCATATTTAATTAATTGTTATAGTAACAATTAATAGTATATAGGATTACAAAATAAACTAAGTCGAGTATCTAAGAGTTAAATATTCTAAGATTTTAAAGATCTATTATACAAATTTCTTTATTAAATTCAGAGGAATAAATGTGTTTTATATAATAATAAGTGATCAAGTCTTATAGTTTCAATTCATTCAAGATTTTCCTATCCTTATTCCAATCCTTATTTAGATTTAAAATATGAACTGGATTTTGAATATCTTAATCATTAAATATCCAAAAAAGAGAGTAAAAAGAAAAGAGGTTAGGATAAAAACAATACAAAAAAAATCGCGTATTTTATTTTCTAAAACCCAATGCAAAGTGCATAACAACAATCACCTACATTCCTACACGTCCCAATTTCTAAAATTTAAATAATTAAATAGATAAGATATCATTTTCGAGAATACTAACTGAAATCTTTTTCATGTGCTACGAAACCGGAACGAGCCACTGGGTAATCGAGCCGATACTTCTCCCCCATCCGAGAATTTATAGAGAGAACAGGCGAACCATCACGCGCTCGTTGTTCCCGGCTGTCGTGGACGACGCGATAAATTATTTCACAGCAGCCGCTCTCTCTCCCGCTATTTACATGCGAGCACGCGCCGAGGCTGCCGATAAATCTACCAACTGTCTGAAATTGTATGAATTAGTCGCGATGCTCGCTACTTTCTCGCCTGATTTATCGGACGGTATCGTCCTGCGAATCGGATAGCGGATCTCGTGATACGTGAGCTCTTTGGTTACCGTGATTTCACCGTGTTACGGCGTTAAAAACGTCCCCCTTTTTAGAAGATTTGTTGTAGGAAGCAATTGGAATCTATCTCCAGTGGATGGATTAATTCTGTTGATGTACATGATGGTTCGATGATATATAATATTGATATATTAGTTTGAGAAAATTTTCAAAACAAATATAATTATTTCTGATCTATACATTATATTTAAATTAGTTCCTGAAATGAGATCATCTAAAAAAACTTAAATAAAAACTGATGAGGTTTATTAAAAAATTGAATCTATAGAATGCATAAAATATTCAATTCAATTAAAAATCCTAACAAATAATTTACTATGACTTTTCAATCAACCAACATTTACCCACTTACAACACAATTATTCAACAATTATTATGCTATCATATTATTATCTTAATTTATCATTTTCCAAGAAAAATCAACTCATTATATAAAACTATAAACCTATATAAATCCATAAAATCATCGATTCGTTATCCATTCATCCATTCAATCTCATTTGAAGAAGACTATTACAATACACATTGAGTCATGATTATCGATTACAAAGAGAAACGAATAATGAACAAAAAAAAGAAGAAAAACGGTGATATCTTCAATCAGTGCAACGACTGTTGTGTCGAAACGTGAATGAACGTGTTTTTCTGCTGCATCGACGCGCGTCGTTGCGTAAGTTCTTTGAGTGGGCGTCATTCACTGGTTTGGAACGTTGCCCGGGAACTGGCGCGAGTCATTCGAATCGTTGAATCGAATCGTGGCGGACAGAGAGAAAAGGGAAGAAAGGGAGAGAGAGAGAGAGAGTTATAAAGGACGTATTCTGCTATCGGTCGGAGGACATAATATTCTGGTGAAAAATGGCTGGCCGGTGCTATTGGCCGAGAACAATGCGAGATGTCGTGCCGTTTTAATGGCCGGCGAACAACAATCTTGCCCCTGCCGGATATAAATTGCTAAAAAGCTCGTCGCCCGTAAATTCCGCCACGCAGCTTCCTTCGCGAATTATTTCCGGCATTCCCTCTCCCGGCTGGTTGAAGGGGGATTTATCGTGCGGTGAATTATGCCAGAAGGGTGGAAAAAAAGAATGTTTGTTTCGTTTATATTTTTCTTTTCTTTTCCCTCGAATGATGAAATTTGAATTTTTATGAAAGATATCTTTACGTGAAAACTTCTTATTAATGTTTCATTTGTAATTTTTTTTAGATGCTTCGCGGGAATTAAAGTATCTTCATCCTTTTGGCTACCTTTTGTGAAAATGGAATGAATTATTTCAAATGGAATGAATCGAGGGAACATATTTTAATCAGCTTATAATACGATATTTAAATGATAATTACAAAATCTGTTTCTCGATAGAATTAAAGGATAAGCTATCATTATTTACTTACAATTAGAGAACAACTTAATGCATTTACCTCGCTTACAGATGAATGTTTTATCCTCTAAATATTCTTCTATAAGTTTCAGGAATATCCATTCAATTTCCATCATAATTTTACGCCTACGTATACCAATAAATTTCGGCGAACTAGCGAATATCTCCTTCAAGCCACAATTACTTTGCAACCGGTCGCAGATGCGAGCGAGGTGCACTTGTGCCGAGACGATTGCATAAAACATGACAGTAATCCACAGGGGGATCTACGAGGGCGTTAATTGGAACGCAGTTTTCAAAGGTCTAATTGCGGCCGCGAAATCCTCATGATGTTTCTGTTCGGGCGTGAAACACCATGGCGCGTAACCGGTTTCACTTGAAACACAAGGACTGGTTTATATCGTATCCTCGGCCTTGACGTCTGGATGCTTCGTGGGTGCGGTAATTGGTCCCAGGTGAATAATTTTAATTGGGTGGCGAACCTGGAATTGATGTTAAGTGGAATTAAATGGCTCCACTGGGAGGCGTAGCGATTCTAACGCCGACCGATTATGAAATTGCGAATCGCGATGCAATTTCGTACTGTGATTGCCAAGATGTAAATTCAATTATTTTTTCGCTGTTTGATATAAAAAATATTCATCTATCATTATACATTTATTTATATGTTGATTGAAATTTTAAAGCTGAATTTTAAAAAATTGAGAAAATTTTGTTTTAATTTTAGATAAATTTTACTTTATTCTCTAAATTATATTAAATTCTTCGTGATTTTCGTCTTTTCAACAAAATGTTATGTACTGATTTAAAATTACTAATATTAAATTTTCTTTTACAGATATTATTGATATATCATGTTTTAGAATGATATAGAAGAAGATATGATAGAAGATTATAATTTTTTTTGGAAATTTATATCTTGCGTTTCTTGCATTTTCTTATTTATATTACATATTATATAAATTCAAATATTTATATATAAGATAGATATAAGATAATAAAATAAAAAAAGATATCAAAGATTCATGATTGATTTTTTGAAAATATGTTTAAGAATCATTAGAAACTAATAATAATTAATAAGTAAAAAGGTAATTAAAAAAAATTTTATAATCTTTAAAATAATAATAAGATATAATTATTAAACATCGCAAAACTCGATTTTAGAATATTCCATTATGTCTAATTTTCAAGAATCGATAAGTTCGCTCAATGATTCCTCACATAACATTTTTTACGATTCCAAGAAAGGGCTAAGGATTATAAAATAGACAGCAGTTAGTAACTGCGAAATTTATGGTTCGAATCGAACGAGATTTGAAACGGCATGAATATGTAAAAGCAATGCGATCAACTGAACTTCTGCATCCAGAATGCTTCTAACAAAGACTTCCTACAGATACAATTCATTACAGACAAGACAAGTTCTTCAACTTATATCACTTCTACTCTGTTATTAAGGTCAGAACAATTACAACAATTTTACGAGTTTGCAAATTTTATCTTCTAAATTGTAATAAAATCTTATATTCAATTTTCGAAGATCCATCGATGGATATTCTATTAAATTAATGATCATTTTCTATAGGAAATAACTCTAATTCTTTTATTGAACTCATGTAATTTAAAATTTAAAAGTAAAATAATTTATTTTCGTTGCTTTGTGCAACTATTGAGTTGCTTTAAAATTAAATAATTGACATAAAAAACTTTGAAATTAAATATATTTTATCCATGAAAGAATTTTAAATCGAAAATATTTCACTATTCTAATTTCAAAAAGAAAAGATTCATCTTCCTGCTTTCAATTTTTTCATTCTAGAACTATATAACGATTCATGTAATCATAAATCAAAAACGAAAATCTAATCTATCTATTCTATTACTTCTATCTATTTTTCACGCCTATAATCTAAAAATATTCAATTCTGACCATATATAGAATTAATAATCGAGAAATCAATTAAAAAGCGATGCAACGAAGCTACTTACATATGGATCTATGACTGCGATCAGATATTGCGTTGCACTTTTGTATACGCATATTATTGCGTTTTTATAACTTTCAGTATTCTGCATATCGATGCTACTAATGAGCCTGTTGTCCACAACCTGGATTCAGCAAGATTTCATCGCGGTCGCCTCTTGAATCCTCTTCTTTCGTCGTTTATCGTGATTCTATTCTGTCCAGCACGCGAGCAATTTGTGGTATCCAACTTTCGCGTAGAAACGTGCCACTGTTCGTAGATGTTGACGAGACTCGGAATTAGATAACGAGTAAACGTGGTTTCGGTTCGTTAAACTGCTAATTTCACAGTACGAATCGTTCTGTGACTTGGAAACTCGGACTTTAGAAAAAATTTTATTGAAATTGCCAATTCTCATATCAGATTTAGAAAAGACGCCATTTTGTACGTTAGAATACGTTAGAAATTGTGTCTAACTTCAGGTTGAATCGATAATCGAAAATATAAATGAAAAGAATTAATCGATTATTTCGAGTTACGAGATATTGCGATCTTGTCCGATCCTAGCCGAATTTTTCCGAATCATTCCGAGTTCGTAATCCGTAAAATTCTTGAGAGTTGCATTTTAACATATTTCTTTTGTGATTTGAAGTAATTGTACAAGAATAAAAGATATTTTAAAAAGTGAAAGTGAAATTGTGAGTGCATATAATGTATATTAACGTATAAGATGAACAAGTATTTGGTAAATCATTTAATAAAACGGTAAATGAAGTGGTAATCAAAGTACGTGTTGAACCAAGAAACTGTGAATCCATTTTAAAAGTGTAATTCTACACGGAGCATCGGATTAAACGATCAGCAACGCTGCTAATTCGTTAATCATAAATATTCAAGAGTCAATTAACACGGATACGAGGGTCGTGCACTCTCGCCGGATCAATTAATTATCGATTTCCATTACGCTTGCGTAATGACCTATTAACAACGCACGCTCGAGATCCTCTGGGCCGAAACTTCGATTTTAATGTCATGATTCGTGAAGCTACGACTTATCCCGAAATTATGCTTTATCGATTTTGTGTTCAATATCAGAGATTAATATCAGAGTTCTGAAAATTGATTTATGGATCAATTATACGATATCTTTTTGGAGAAAAAGAGAATTAATACCATACTCGTTCAACAATATTAACAACAATTCACTCACATTGCAAACATAACCTGAAAATGTGATCATTATCTTTCACTGAAGTGTACACCTAACAAACAAACAATTGCGACTTTCCATATATGAATGTAAGTACCTTTTTTATTCAAATTATATCATAAATTTCATAAAATAATTTTACGATTCATACGTAGCATCCAAGTTTGATCAGTCAATAACGTGAATATCGACTATTCAACGAGTTCGAATTGACAGGGATCTCGAGTGCATCCTGGTTGATGCACCACCTTTCTAATGTAACCGTGTCTCGTACAATGGATAGGTGCGTCCTGTCGACGGCTTCGGTCAATTACGATCGTCTGAAAAACAAATGGGCCGGTTTTGATAATTAACGACACGGTGATCGGTTTCTTGAAGCGTCGATCCGATCGTTTCATGCAGACAATTCGCGATGAAATATTTCGCGGCGATTATCGAAGCGTTTCGTAACGGTATGAAATATTTCACAATGATTGTTCATCTACAGCCGTATACAATTTTCTTTTATTAAATTTTTAGTTTTTATAAAAAATCAAAATGATAATGTATGCGACGAATTATATTAATACATTAATAAGAATGAATTTATATTTATTATATATTGTATTGATTTTAATTTCAGGATTTTGCTCCTCAATTTTGATAAAGATGGATTATTAAATGATACTTTATATTGTTGTTAATCAATCGATTTTAAGAAGGTTGATAATCGATGATTATTGATAATTTTTTTTAACGATTTGATTATAAAACGTAAGTTATTTTTGTTATTATAATATATGAAGATTTTTAAAATGAGTCGACACTTGTTACGCATCCTCGTATCATATCGCCATTGAATATCAGGACAGGAAATGTTGCATCGTATTATGTCGTTGTCTATCAAATTATGATTCAAAGATACATAACAGAATTGATTTTGTCGGTTTTTCGTCGTCACATCAAAGAAATGACACGTTATACAACTAATAACAACAAAATGTATCCATCTGACGATTTTTATAAAATTTATATGAGAGGTAATTAAAAAAATAAATAAATAATTGACTTGTTTTTTTATAAATTATAATATAAATCATTGCAATGTATCGCATTACTGAGAAATGTTACACGAGGATACATAACAAGTAAACTTATTTCATCAGAATTGTTTCGAAATCGAATTTCTTCTTCATATAAACATAAAATGAATTTCGGAGATTATTTGATGAAGTTTTATTCTTCGACCGATATATAATATAATAATAATTAAGAATCGTGTTTTCATTGAGTCGATTCTCGATTTTCGCAATTTGGAATGGAACAAGATTCGAAGGTATATGATTTTCGAGGTTCGTTGAACACGTGCACGCACGTAATTCGAGCGTCTGACTGAGACGTGTAATTTTCACGATTGCAACGAGGAAACTGATCCCTTTTTACTGCACACACTTGCTCCTCCCTGTGCTTGATCAAGTGTAATTACTGTGAATAATGCAGCAGGGTGTTAACAGTACGAAACCAGAGTTATGAATCTTGTTCGATGTTGTGTAATTTGCCGGCAATTTGCTGAGAATCCTCATGTACACTGCCAATACGTATGTAACGATATAAAATTAATATATATGTATATATTTATTACAAATTCTTTTTTCTATTATTATATATTATATATTATATAAATATTAAATATAAACTAACTTGTTTTTATTTAAAAAAATTTCGAAGTTTATATCACAGTAATATATTTGCATAAATCACGTGATAAACTTGGATTGTCGTCATATTTTTATTTCCTCGATGAATTTATTTCTTCTTCCATTGATATATCAGGTGTACGATAAATCAAATAAATAAATATGAGAGGCAAGTTCGAAAAATATAACAAATACAATAATGTTTTCTCAACAAAGATTAAAAATTGCTTTATCATCCTTATATCCGTAGCAACGTTTTTCTTTACCTCGAATATAAACAGAACACAGCGCCTGTGTATTTTGTCAGCCAGCGTCTTGAACGTAACTAATTTTCTTTATCATTCTATTAACAACAAATAAATTACATAAAATTACACAGATGGAAGTTGTTTTCATAAAATTTTCATAAAACAGAAAATTGCTTCGATCCAAAATATTTAAAAGATATATCTATAAATATGAAATTAATCATTCCCCATTCTCAAAAATATACAAAAATCATCATATTTTCCCATAAATTATACGTATCCCTACGAAAATATATTTAATCATTCTTTCGTAACGCAATCCTTTTCACACGTTACATTTTTCATTTTACACTCCTCCCTTTCAAACGATATTTCACGGAGTATTTAACGGATTAATCGCGATCGAAACGAAACCACCACGAACCCTAGCAATTACTATCGATTATTTTCCTCGTAATTTATGATTTCCACTCCCTTTCGCCGATCTTTCCAGACAAATTGCCCTTAAACATTTTTATGAATACGGTATTCGGCCGGTTGGGCTCGTC